TAGCGGTCAGGATGAGGATGACAGGCGGCTGGGTCCTCCTCTGCCTTGCCCCACTTCTCCTTCCACTCATTCACTCATACCCCGCTACACATCCACACACACACTAAATCCTAGGGGGTGGCATTTTTTCTACAATCCTCAATTGCAAGGACACCTAGCTCATTCCCTTGCTTCAGAGGTATCCTAGTAAGACAAAAAATCCCAACTATTCCAAACTAACTTAGAACACTAAGTGTCCTTCCTTCACCCCTTCATTCCATCATGGTGACTTCAGGAATTTCTTTCTTGCATGGAAATTAAGTTCCCCTCCCACCCCCTGGCAGCGTAAGCCCCTTCCCGATGAACAGTGAAGATTCACAGCCCTGACATTCCCACTCCCAGAGTCTCCCTGGAACTCTCTGCCATCTCTCATAGGCCTTTCTTTTGAACAAGTCATTCCTTTTTGTGTTCCAGAAAATGAGATGTAGAGTTAAACTCACCCCGTGGCCACTGAGGTCCAGCAAGACTTCCAGTAGCCATGGGGTATTGCAGGTGGCCCAATGGGTGGCGCTCTGGAGGCGCCAGCCCTCTACAACTCTGAAGCCACTGCCCTACCATGCTCTGCCCCTTCTCTCTTTGTGTCTGTATCTCAAGCAAGCAGTGCACAGGGAACAAAAGTAGGGAAGATTCCAGAAGTTTGGGGAAGCCACCTGCCATGATCCTGGTGCAACAGTGCAAGGAGTTCCTGCACCAGAGTTGTTCAAACAAGGGTGGGAGAGTCTGGATGCTGTAGAATGCAACCAAACCATGCAGTACAGTCTTAAACTTCTTTGTGGATGCTAAGGCTCCCAGAAGGAAGCAACTCTATTTGGATCCAGACAGCAGCATCCGCCTGAGTTTGGAATCAGATGTGCCCATGGGGCCTGCTGCTGAGAAGAAACCAGTGCTGTGTTCCTCTTCTCCCTGGGGGACTCCCACTGCTGCCAGTGCCCTCCCCCAGACAAGCCCTGGGGGTTCTTCCCAATGTTGGGGAGCACCACCTCCACTCGAGTCCAGCCCGCTGAGCTAGAGATGAAATCACAGCCCAGGGCAAGTGCAGAGTTAATTTGAGGCAGGGACCAAAGTCAGAATGCATGGCTTGGCCATGGCTCAGGGAACATCTTGGGCATGAAAACGGGAATGGAGGGGCAAGACCTTGTCACTGTGTCTGTGTGTGAGGCCCTGGCTGAACCTATTCCGTTACTAAGTAATGAACCCAAACGACTCTGGGGCCTCTAGGACAGGCTTTAAGTCTGTGCCTCTCCCCAGCAGAAGGACCTCTGCCAAAGGAGGTGGAAGTAATTATAGTATAGCTGAAAGTGTCAGGTATTGCACAGTTGAACCCAGGCACACAGCCTTCGGGCACAGGTGTCTTGTACTCAGAGCCAGCTGAGCTGCTGAACTCTGCAAGGCTCCTCGCATTCTCTGGAGCTCAGTCCCTTTTCAGGCCAAGAGAATGACCTCCCTCCTGCTGACCCCAGAAGTCCACGGTGGCATTAACATGAGATGGTGTGATGAAAGAATGCTCTCTGAGAGTGGGCAAGTGCAGTAAATAGGCAATGTTTACACCATCCATCAGCTACAGTCTGTTCCACTGCAGGCCACAGTCAGTGACCCTGAGAGTCCATGCCTAAAACAACCAGGCAGGTTTGTGAAAGAGCTCATGAGTATCATTTCCCCACACCCCAGAGGTGCCAAGATGTGCTCCCCTTTTCTTGCCTCACGTAGGATGTGCCCAGTCCATGGTCCCTACCCCTGGAAGTTCCCATGCTGATCCTTTGATGATATAATTAGAGTGCCTCTCCACACCTTGCAGCCAAAAACCAGAAGAAAAATGGAAAAAGGTATGAAAGAGGAAAATCACCCAAACTGGGTTAGCTGACACGAACGCTCTCCAAGCCACCAGGTAGTGAACCAGCCAGAGTTGAGAAAGCAGGTGAAGGATACACAGGGTATGCCTCCCCGTCCCGTCTACCTTTGGCTGCCAAACAGTGTGTTGGTTGAAATCCCAAGAGAGAAATCTTGCATTTATTTTACTGACCTTGTTTATGTTTTTCTAACCTTGCCTGAAGCTTTTGTGAGGTGAAGACAGTACATGATAACTTTTTATGCTTAAAGTTCTCAAATGTCACTACTGTGAAAGAAGCACCATGGCATGGATGATTTCAAACAAGTGGTTATTGAAGCGTGTCTGCCGCTGGGTTTGGGGTGGGCAACATGGAGAACTGACCTTCCTCTATTAAGTTGACCTTCCAGACTTAGAAGAAACATTGGTTCTGGCCCACATCCGGTGAAGATGGTCGAGTGGGATAGATGCTGGAATCAGGGGAGCTTGACCTTGGAGCAGCCTCATTGCTGGGAAAAAAAAAAAAAAAAAAAAACAGGCACGAGGACTCCGGGATAGCGGCAGTGGCAGCACGCGGCCTAAGTGCACAGACCAGGCCCCCAGAAGGATCAGGGCCTGAATGAGAAAGTGATCATCTTCCCTCAGGCACTCAGCTGCCTGTGCGCTTCAGGGTGCGGGTGGTTCTTCTGTGTCTGCCTTTCCTCCGGGGACTATTCCTTGAATGCCTCTGATGGGTTCAAACAGCACTAACATCCCAGAAACGTGGGGTCACGTGGGAGTTCCTTCTATGTGGTTGCACACCAGCTGAGTGACCCAGCACATATCACTGGGTTCTGTGACCTCTTATTCGTGTCTCAGGAAGTCAAAGCATGTGATTTTAAAGGTTTCGTCCAAGTTTCTGGGCTTCTACATGTTAGACTGGTTTTGAAGTTCAAGGAAGGCCAAGTGTTCTACTCAAAGAATAAATCTCCCCACCAAGAAGCTCCTGCAGGGCCCTGGAAGGGGCAGTCCAAGACCAGGGCTGCCCTCTGCCTTCCATTAGGCCACAGCAGCCGAGGTCAGCCGAGATGAGAAGCAAGGCCAGTTCCACCCCACCCCCAGAAGGGCTGGAAGGAGAAGCCCACACAGGGTGGGCCAGAGCTGGGAGGGTGTGACTCAAGTTGTTGGGGTACTGCTCACTTACAGGGGATACCCCTCCCGTTCTCAGGCTAGAGCCAGTCCTGGGGGGTAAACTGGGCAATTCTGGAGGACTCACCAAAGAGATTTTATCAGCTGAATCCACACACACACATACACACACACACACGGATGCTAATTGGTGCCAACTCCCACTTTCCTGAGATGCTCAGCCCAGTCCCTTGGGGCCAGGGCCTGGGAGGAAACTAACCATGGCTGTCACCTGCCACTGGGACATGTTTCCTTTGTTGCTGCAGATATTTCCTCCAAATACAACTTGCTCTACCCTCGAAACTTGCCCTGGAGCCTGCAGAAGCGAACTTCAATACCTAAAATAAAAGCTGACAGCTGGGGCTTTCTTTTTTTCTTTCCACATTATCTGTACCTTTGCCTGTGATCCCAGTGTGTGAGTGTGGAAATGGCAGCCTAAAAGGTGCTTGGACTTGTAAACAGCTTCAAGCCATTTTCAGGTGGGGAGATGGGTCAGGAGGAGCAGTCCTGGCAGGGCTGCCTGCTTCCTCTAATGCTCTTTCTGTTGCCTGTCTTGCTTCCCCTGAACCATAGACTTCTCATGACCTCTCTCCCAGCACCCAGCTGCTGCACAAAGATTGTCTGGAGAAAGACAGGGCCTGTGAATCCTGGGAGACCTGCAGCCAAGCTTCCTTCTGGTGTTGGGAGTTCCTGGACTTCAGAAGTCCAAGGACTTTCTTACCAGCTGTGAAATAGCAATGCGGGGAGCAAGTGCCAGAAAAAAGTCTGTCTTCTTAGCTGCCTTGATTACAGCAGACACTACCTGCAAGGGCCTTTTTCCAATTAAAAATATGGGGCAAAGGAGTCCATATCCAGGGTGAATTTTGTGCTGAGAGCCTGTGGGAGAAAAAGAATTAGATGTTCTTGCTGAAAGTGGCTGAGCTTGAGGCTCATACACTCTGGGGATGAAGCAAAGTGGGCACTGTGGAACAGCAAGTTAAGCAGCGTTTTGCTTAACTTAACATCTACATCCCAAATCACGAGTGTCAATTTTAATCCCAGCTCCTCTGCTTCTGACCCAGATTCCTGCTACTGCATCCTAGGAGACAGCACATGATGGCGTAAGCACTTGACCCCTACTGCCATTAGGGAAACCCAGCTAGAGTTCCCAACTTCTAACTTTAACCCAGCTAAGCTTTGATTGATGTGGATATTTGAGGAGTGAACCAGCAGGTGGAAGATCAGTCACTCTCTCCCTATCTTTCTCTCTCCCTCTCTCTCTTTTTCTCTCTCTTGCATTGCCTTTCAACTAGATGGAAATAACCATTTATAAAAACATACCCTTAGAAGACAGGTTGTGCAGAGGCTAGCCCAGTTGTATGTACTTATTTATTTAGCCAGTTTTGGTGTTCTGAGCTTCATACTTAGCTCAGAAGGTAAAACACGGCCAGTTGCTTTATGCATAACCCAAGTGAAATGCACATTGTAACAGAGGCATGTGAGGGAGAGAAGCATGGCGGTGAGGGTAGGGAAACATCTGGAGATCACAGAATCTGAGGGGTCACTGCTGCTGGTGAGCTGGAACAGAATCCCCTCGGGAGATGGGCACCATTGTAGACCACACAGGCGGCACTGGCTGCATGCTAGAAGCATGTGGGGAACCCTGGTCAATTAAAGAGAATTCCTGGGGTTGGAAGCCAGGCATCGTTATCAGAAATTCCAAAGGGTAGTCCAGGTGGGGACTACCTGTTCGGGTAATGTCTCAAGTTTGCAGGGAAATGGACTGTTGAATGTATGCCGAGCATTGGTTTTCTGGTCTGGGGAATATGTTGAGCCTTTTCCTTCACTGTTTCTAGGAAGCCATAACTGCCTTCTGGAAAGGAACAGGGAGGAGGGAAGGCTGGGAGGGAAGAGGGGAAGGAGGACTTCAGGGCTGCAGCTGAGAAACTCTTGGGGACATTGTCACAAACCACACCTCCCTTACTGCCAGGACCTCCTGCAGAATTCCCCCAATTCCATGTCTGGAGTCTCCAATAACCCCCAAGGGATTGTGGTCCCAGCCTCAGCACTCCAGCAGGGCAACATCGCCATGACAACTGTCAACTCACAAGTCGTGTCAGGTCGGTGCAGGGAATGGGTGCTTGGGAGAGCAGGGAGCACCCTGGTGGGAAAAGGGTGACTTGTGGGGGATTCCAGGGATGGGAGGGGTGTCTTCTGTCAGGGGAGGGGCTCCCTGCTCAGTTGCTTGGCTCAAACTTTCTGTAAGTTTGCGTGGTTCACACCAAGACCTGAATGTGATGGTTTAGAACATATTTAGGTTGAATTTTCTTAACCCCTGCCCCAAGGACCAAGCAAGGCTACTGTCCCTTCCCTGTAACATGTGTCCCCAGAGACTGCTCATGGCTCTGGACAGTACTCCCTGCTTCCAGCCCTGCCCTACAAGTGGAAGAAATATGCCTGGATGCCCCAGGGCGCCTAGGTAGAAGGGCTACAAGCAGAAGTGCAAAGGAAGCTGGGGACCCTGCTTGCCCTCACTCCTCCCGCCAATGGCAGGGGACCCAAAAGATGGTTGTCTCCTCAGGTGGAGCCTTATACCAACCGGTTACCATGGTAACCTCCCAGGGTCAGGTGGTCACCCAAGCAATCCCCCAGGGAGCCATCCAGCTCCAGAACACGCAGGTGAGTGTGTGTGGTCTGCACATGTGTGCATGGGTGCAGGGAGGGTAACTGTAGTTGCTTCCCACCTGCTAGGTATGCTCCCAAGTAACTCATTCAGTCCACAGTCCCCAGTCTATTTAGCCCTATAAGAGGTCTCATTCCTCCTGCAATACAGGGAGGGGGGTCTTGGGAAGGTTTCGCCAGATCCAGGATTTTTTGCCTCCTGGGGTTCCACCAAAGTCCCCTGCATTTCCTACACCTGGTCCCAGCCCCAGCACTCTGTTCCTCAGTGGGGCAGAGCACACCTACAAAAGAAGAATAGAGAGGCCAAGAAGTGGGAGGCCTAGGATCTGGTCTTGGACAAGTGGCCTAGCCTCTCCAAGCCTTAGAGTGCTTACCAATGCAAGGATGACTAATTCAGCCACATCCAGCCTTTCCAACCTACCAGGCTGCTGTGAAAGTTAGCTATGGTGATGGACCCAAGAATGCATCATAAACCGTAGAGCACCACAAAATGCCAATACCTTTAGCTGGTGTAGGACACATGTCCATCTTGTGTACCTTTGCATGGCCCTCTTTCCTCTCCATCCTCTCTTGTCTCCCCCCCCTTCCTTCTCCACCCTTCTTTGTTCCCCTAACCCAGTCCTCATCTCCATTCTCTAAGAGTTGGTGTGAAACAAAAGGGAAAGGTGACCTCCCCAGGGCCCTAGGGATGGGTTGAGATGGGGGTGGGTGGCAAGCTGCCAGCACCATGGCAATGGACCCCCAGCTGCTGCCCCTGAGCCTGCTGATGCTGATTCTTTCTCCACGTGCCCTGAAGGTTAACCTTGACCTCACCTCCCTCCTGGACAATGAGGATAAGAAGTCCAAGAATAAACGAGGAGTGTTACCCAAGCACGCCACCAATATAATGCGTTCTTGGCTCTTCCAGCATCTCATGGTGAGTGTGTGTCCTGGGGTATGGAGTGGCAGCATGGGGTGTGATTAACCAACAGTGTGAGTGCCGGGTTCTGCTACGGTCTCCAGACTTTTAGCGGCATGACCGAGGCGAGAGCTTTCTGCTAGGGACATCGCCCAGAGGCCACATCAGCAAGCATTCTCGAGTGCTTGCTAATGTCTCCAAGAACTGAGACAGTGGAAGAGGAAATGGGAACAATCCCGTTCACAAGAACTTAGCACTGGGCGATGTGCAACAGCAGGCCAGACTTCAAAGTGGAGTCCAGCTATGGTTCCTGGCCAGCGCCTTCCTCCTGCACCCACCACACCCTTTTCCTGAGGAAGAACAAATTAATTCTCTATCAGGATTCTGGAGTTTGAGTCCCCTGGGGAAGCAGAAGGTGTATGTCCATTTTCCACGGGCTCAGAGCAGCTGTGTGAGGCCAGGGTAGGGGAGCAGTGGCTTTCTTGCTTAACTTGTTCAGAAATGTGGGGGCACGATTGATGACTTTCAGTTGACACTTTGTAAAATGGTCCAATACCTTGGATTTAAATGGAGTGTTCATATAGTACATATGTTTGGTAGTTATACATTTGTATGCAATGTTGGTTGCAAAAGGCAAGTCTTTGGTTGAAGATTGGGAATGGTTTTAAAATAGTAATGCACTAACAACAGTTTCTGCTGCTGCGATAATAAAGAGCTGTGTGTGTGTGTGAGTGTGCATATATGTGTATGTGTGATGTGTGCCTGTGTGTCAGGGAGGGGAAGTAAACTCAGTGACCATAGGAACCTTTCAACTCTGTATGCTTTTGACCCTGAGATGCAGTTCATACATACATAGACACAGGACAAAGGCAAAGCAACTGTGGACACACTAGCCTGAGGGCTGTGGGAAGGACCGATGGTGATACATCCTGGAAGTTAATTAATTGATCAATCCATCAGCATTCTTTCTTGTGAAATGGGAATGTGACTGGCTAGAGCCATTAAGCCTAGAGCTCTGTAGTGGTCTAGACACACTATGGTCCTAGGGACTCTGTCTCAGAGGCAGTGGCCTGTGTGTCCCACGGACAGGGCCCAAGAAACTGCTGAGGCCAGAGCTGTGTCCCTTCCCTCAGGATCCGTCCAATTCTGGGGGCTTGGGCTGCCCCAGTGCCTGGCTATAAAAGATTCTTTTGAAAGTACTGTCTGGTCAAGAGACTATGGTTTCCAAATCAGGAAGAGCTAGAAGGCTGAAGGTTAATGTAAGTATGGGTATGTATTTGGGCAGGGAACCTGGGTGATGAAGCCAGGGAACAAGGGCAAGTCCAGGCCAGAGCTTCTAGAAGCGTGCCCAGGTTTCCTGTTTGCCCTGGTTTTCCAAATTGACCAACAACCCATTGGCTCAAATGGATTCTGTGGTCCCCTGAGCCCAGAGTCCACACCACACATGCCAGCCCCTCTCTAGGGAGGAGTCAGTCTTCTGGATGTGGCATGGCAAGTACCACTGTGGGGGATGGATGTGATAGCGAGCTCGTGGACTTCCAAGGCAGCAAAGCCTTGCTTCCTCTGGAGGCTTGGCCCCAACATCTGGTTATAGCCATGGAACAATTGCAGAGACCCTGCTTCATAAATCCTGGTTCTCTTTCCTCCCTGCTAAAGTCTGAATATGGCTTATCCTTGCCAACATCCATGATGAGGCTTACTTCACCCATGAATGGTTTTGAAAGGTGATGTGGCCTTTAAAAGGTGGGGCCCAGTGGGAGGGGCCTGAAACTGACTGCTTTCACAAAGGGATTAAAGCTGGTCTCTTGGGTGGTTGGGTGGTTGTGTCTCCCAGGACGAGGGGATAATTTCCAGAGGAACAGGTTGTTAGACAAGAGTGAGTCTGACCCCTCCTGGTTGTCTTGCTTGCCATGCCAGTCCCCTTCCTCATGCCCTTCTACCTTCAGAATGCCATCTGCAATGGGACCCTCGTAAGAACCACACAGAAGCTGACTGTGTGCTTTTGAACCCCCAGAAGTGGTAGCCAAGTAGACCAGTTCTCTTAGGAGAGTGCCCAGCCCTGGGCATTCTATAATAGCAGCACAGAACCAAGACATTCTCCCACCCTCACACCTCTGCTTACTTGCTTGCATAGTCTTATTTTGTATTTTTAACAGTCTATTTTTTAAAAAATTATATAAAATGAGTAGATTCTATGGTTTTCCATGATACAGAATTGGAAGCATAGGGGATCCTAACTTTATTCTTCCTTATTTTTCTCCTTATTTTTTCCTAAGTTATTACAATGCAATGATATTTCCATTTGCTTCATAGTAACAGGCTTAACATACCAATATATACAGATATTGACATAACAAATAAAGGAAAAGGAAAAAGAAAAAATGGAAATTCTACTGTTATTCAGGTGTTTAGACACAGGCTGTGAATAGCAGTTAATTCCCAGTGTGTGAATCTCACAGAGATTACCTTTTTTGGTGCTCTGTGTAATAGTTGTCATAGATTAGAGAGAGCATATAATGCTTCTCTTTTGAGGATTGGCTTACTTCGCAAAGCATAATGGTTTTCAGCTAGACCCATTTTGTTGCAAAGGACAGGATTTCATTCTTTTTTGTGGCTAAGTATTATTCTACCATGTGTATGTGCCACATTCTTTTCTTTATCCAGCCATCAGGTGATGGGCATCTAGGTTGATTCTGTATCTTAGCTATTGTGAATTCAGCTGCAAAAAACATGGGGGTACAGATAATTCTCTTAGGTGCAGATTTCATTTTGAAAGCTGATAGGAACACATCTCCAACTCCACTTCTGAGGGAGACACTGGCAAGTGTGGGAGGAAGGAGGGTGTAGGCCGACACCCCATTACTGGCTGCCTTCACCCGCCTCATGGCTCCCATCCTAGCTACCTCCCACTCCCCACCTGCGGCTCCCCCATGACGGTCCCTCATGATGATACCTCTGATCTCGCTGGATCTCAGTTCCTTTTCCTCGTGAGCCTCCCTCCATAGTCCAAGGTCTTTTCATTCCATGCCACAGTCCACTGGGACTTGCAATGGCAGAGGGAGCGAGGGGGGAAGAAGAGGGAAGTGGCTGTAATTGGGCCTAGAGCAGAGAGGAAGCAGGGATGGAGTTGGCTCTGCAGAAAAGCCCCAGGGCTGTGCCAAGGACTGTGCTGAGAGCTTTCTGCCCTTCCTTGCCTGATCGTCTCTAGCCTGGAGCACACTCAGCTGCCAGGAACACAAACTCCCCACTGGGCAGAGTCCTCCCTCAGAGAATGCCTTCAACACGTGACCTCAAGGGATAAGAAGGGAGTGTCTATTCAACCTACAGAATCAAGAGTTCAGAGCTTCTAGATTGAGGGGCAGGAAGAGAAGAAGGAGAAATCCAGGAGACTTTGGGGTAGAAGCAGACCAGGGCTGCACAGCTTGGCCTGGGCCTCACCCCAGTGCGACTGGCTATCCAGGCACGCATGGGTCCCTCCCAGCCCAGCTCCTTGAAAGAGGCTCTGCAGGACTGTACGAAGACAACAGGTTTTGAGGCCAGGCAGAGATGAATTAAGTCTCTCTGATTACTGTGTGATTATTGTGATTCTGTTTATCTGAAGAAAAAGGTAATACTCACCTGCCATGGTTGTGAAAATTTAATAAGAGAACATCTATGAAGAACCCAGCCCTGTGCATAGTTAGCACATAAATTCTTACTGAATTTTCTACAGCAGTGGGTGAAGAACAAATTTTTGAGACTGAGACCCAACATTTGTGAGAATTCGAGGTCCTTTTGTTGTTTCAATTTATAATGCCTTCTGGCAGCATTTGACCCTGACAATATACTGGCCAATACTACTGCTTACTCATTCTGTTGGTAAAACACCTATGTCTCATATCGTTAGTCCTACTGGAATTTCTCGAGAACAAGGATCCTACTTGATACTTCTGCATGGATCTGAGAGTTCTGATTTCCAAAGTACGTACTGTTGTAGCATCGAATAATCTGCAAACTTAGCTCTGTCGAGACCAGTTCTGAGCACTTGGACAGCCAGCATTGGTTTTCCTGCTGTCTTCTTTCTCCATCTCGGGCACAAGTTGTGAGGCTGTGGTTCCTTCAGTCCTGTGTCAGAGGCATCTTGTCCTTTCCACTGTCGTGTGCCATTAGCAGCTGCAGAAATGTGAGCTGAAGATAGAAAGCTCCTGAGACGGAGGTTAACTTCTAGATCCTCCGGTCTGTTCCGCTGCAGCATGATTAGGCTGGTTTCATCCATTAGCGACCTGCTGCCAAGTCCCTGCAGAATCCAGTGACATTTCTTTGCTATTGCATTCGGCTGCAAGAGGCTAACCTGCTGGCAGCAGTCATGGCAAGCCCAACCTGGCAGAGGGTCCTCCCTGCTGAGACTGGAGATGCGCTGAATAGAGGCCGGAAGGCCACTCTTCCCCCTCAGCTTCTGCCCCACCCCACCCCCTGGCCTTGGGAGCCAGTGCCATCCTGATCAGACAGGCAGTTCTATTCATTTCCAACCCAAAACATTCCATGTCTCTGGGCTGCTGCCACCCAAATCTGTGGGCAGCTTTGCAGAATCTATTCTGTGCGCAGGGAGGTCCTAGAGAGGACACCAGCCCCACAAGCCCTGTCATTCAGCCAAGGGGACACTTATGCATTCACCGCTGTGGTGTGCCAGACTCTGCTACACCTTTTAAAGCTTCATGTCATTTGATCCACCCAAGCATGCTGGGAGGTAGGTACTGGTCTCACCCTCGTTTCACCAATGACAAAACAGACACTCAAAAAAGGTAACACATTTCAGAAAGTCACAGGTCATCCAGGATTTGAACCTTGATCTGCATGACTCAAGGATCTTACCCTTTATCCACTCAGCCTGTGGATCTCCACGTAGACCCAGGAAACTGCAGACACCCTTCAGTCCCTGCACACAGTCTAGGGGCAGCAGAGGGGAGCCTGGAGCTGAGGCACAGTGCCTCCCCATCCTCCAGAGGTTCAGGATATCTATGTTGATGGCCCCCAGTTTT